CCTTGTTATCTCAGATTCTCCAGCATCTGCAGTTCCTACTATCTCTGAAACACCATCACTACCAGGTCTTTGAACTTTTCATACCTCAGCGAAACAAAAGAAAAAAAGCTGTCCGCACAAGGTTCATACAAAGTGCAGCCACATTTTACGAGGTTTTATTTTTAACTCCCTGTTCACACCAGAAGGGCTAATGAGGAACTGTGTAAACTGCCCTGTTAAGTTTACCAGCTGCACTTACTCACTCTAGATCTAGAGTGTCACGGGAAACAATGTTCACCTGCTGTTAGTCTCCCAGTGGCCCCACTGATATTGGCAGCTTTGTACAGTCCAGAGCCTAACCAGGCTGCCACTCCATGGTGCTGTACATTAGTCAGCTCCTAACCCTGCTCCACTCTTCAATCGTGAACATTAGCTCGCTGGGTGTCAGTGGGCAGGTGTGGGTGTTCAATTGATCCTCTGTTTCCTTGTGCTAGGCAACTTTGAGAAAGAGAGAACAGGGAGAAGGCTGAAGGCAGACATGTCATTGGAGATCACGGTAACAACAATCTAATCCCTGAAAGTGAGATTGGCCATGTTCCTGGTGCCCTCGGCTCTGCTCCCTCTGATTTGCTGAAGAACATGCTTGAAATGAGTACAACAGAGCAGCTCCTATCAGAATCACCCTCTTCCGTTCCAGGACAAACTTAAAGGTCTGGGCTGTGTGAGGTTCCAACAGACTCAAGGAGGGTGTGGGAGCTGGGCTGGGCTGCTTTGTACTTTGGGGCTTTGGTTTCATCAGTATATAAGAGCGAGGGCACTGGATTGTGTCAGGCTCAGGCCTGGGAATGAATTGATCTCAGGGGCCTTGGATCTGTTTGGCCTGGGTGGCATGGTGGCTCAGTGGTTAGCACTGCTGCCTCACAGCGCCAGGAACCCGGGTTTGATTCCACCCCTGGGCAACTGCTGTGTGAAGTTTGCACGTTCTCCCCGTGTCTGCGTGGGTTTCCTCCGGGTGCTCTGGTTTCCTCCCACAGTCCAAAGATGTGCACGCTAGGTGGATTGGCCATGCTAAATTGCCCATAGAGTTCAGGGATGTGTAGATTAGGTGGGTTATTGGGGAATGGGTCTGGGTGGAGTGCTCTGAGGGTTAGTGTGGACTTGTTGGGCCGAAGGGCCTGTTTCCACACTGTAGGGATTCTATTCTATTCTATATTAGACTCAGGGCCTTGTGTCCATTGGATCTTGGGCTCCATTTGGCCTGGATGTGTCAGGCTCTGGGCCTAGCGTCCATAGAGTCTTCGGCTCCATTCAGCTTCTGGGAGAAAGGGAAAGGATTTGCTTTAAGGTAGCACCTTCAATATACTTTCCAGCCAACAAAGTGGATTCTGAAGCATTGCTTCTGTTGTAACTTCAGTGTCTGAGACAAAACTTTATGAGTCTTCTGCCACTCTGTTTGAATGATTTCCACTGAAAGACACAGCTCCTGTACTAACAAGTGTCAGGCTTGGGGCCTTGAGCTCCATTCAGTCTGGATGTGTCAGGCTCAGGGACTGGAGCCCACTGGGTCAGCCTGAATGGATCATCTTGGAGCCTTGGGGTCCATTGGTCCTGGGCTGTGTCATGCTCAGAGCTATGACTGTGTTGAGCTTAGGGATAGTAGCCCCAGAATCTGCAATATCACACAGGAAGGCAAACAGAAAGCCAATCTCTGTTATTTAATGTCAAGCCAGACACTGGAGGACTCTCATGGACTCTGCTGACTGCTCAGAAGCGGAGAGTTGACTATAGCATGTCCTGAGAAACTATATTCATTCTCACAGAAATGGATTCTACACAAATGCCAGGCAATGACCATCTCTAATAAGAGACAATCTAACCATTGCCCCTCGACATTCAATGGTGTTACCATCAGTGAATCGCCACGGACCCCCCAACCCCACTATCAACATCCAGAGCTTATCATTGACCAGAAACTCAACTGGACTCATCACATGGCTACAAGAGCAGGTCAGAGGCTAGGAATACTGCAGTGACTATCTCACCTTGTGACTTGCAAATGCTGTCCACCATCTATAAGGCAGGAGTCAGGAGTGTGATGGAATACTCCACACCTGCCTGGATGGGTGCAGCCCCAACAACACTCAAGAAGTTTGACACCATCCAAGACAAAGCAGTCTCTTGATTGGCACCACATCCACAAGCATCCACTCCCTCCACCACCGATGCTCAGTAGCAGCAGTGTGTACTATCTACAAGATGCATTGCAGAAATTCACTAAAGATCCTCAGACAGCACCTTCCAGACGCTTAACCACTTCCATCGAGAAGGATAAGGGCAGCCGGTACATGGGAACTCCATCCCCTGCAGGTTCCCCTTCAAGCCACACACCATCCTGACTTGGAAATTTTACCACCAACCCTTCACTGTTGCTGGGTCAAAATCCTGGAATTCCCTCCCTAAGGGCATTGTGGGTCTACCTACAGCACGTGGACTGCAGCGGTTCAAGAAGGCAGCTCACCCCCACCTTCTCAAGGGCAAACAGGGACAGGCAATAAATGCTGGGCCCAGCCAGTGACACCCACCTCCTATGAATGAATAAAAGAAAGAATTTAAAAAATCACAGTGGATATACAACAGGCCATTTGGCCCTATCAGTCCTGCTGACATTCATGTTCCGCTTGAGTCTCCTTACATCATTCAGAAATCTATTATCATTGTCTTCTATTCATTTCTCCGTTACTTGTCTAACTTTCTCTAGAATGCATTGATAATATTCACCAATCCCTGTAGCAGGGAATTCCATTCTCAGCCACACTTGGTTGAATTCTCGCTCTCTTATACTGATGGCCTAGGCTGTCCTCCACAAGAGGAAACATTCTGCCCGCACTCACTCTACCAGAATGACGCCAGTATTGCAGGATTTTAGAAACCTCGATTAATTAGGCCAAGGGTAAGAGAGACCCGATCTCTTGATCCTTTCTCTTGTACCTATACTGGCATCCTTGCAAAATTCTTTTTGCTCTCACTACAGAGGAGAAACTCACTGGAGTGAAGTTTGTTTCAGAAGCACCGCAGAGTCAAGCTATGAGCGGCAAATGGCAGTGAAGAATTGGAAAGAGATTTGACAGGAATTAACACCCTGAACCTTTGGGCTTCTCAGCTCTGAGTGCAATTCGCTGAGCTGCTGTTTTATCTTTTCTCACCTCACACACAAACGGCGCAGGGATTAGTGTCAACTGCTGCCTATCAGCCAAGGGCATCTCAAACAGGATGGGTGGGCCCAGTGCTACTTTCAAATACAGCCCAGTTTCACAGGCTGGCAGTTTACACAGACTCGAGATGACTGATATAAAGTCAGGACTCACAGAACCTCCTGCTACTGTGGTGACCTGATCTGATTTAGGAAGCTGTTTGTCATTTTGGACTAACGCACCTACTAGCAATCCCACTGGCCCTTCTCTGCCATCTCACCCACACTGCCCTGGTCTGTGCCAGGGTCTTTCTCCTGGGAGATCAGGGTAGAACTAACAGCCAGGCCAATCCGAGGATTATTCTGAAGTTCATGGAAGCAGATGGATCCAAAATGAGCATCAACCGAGTAACATGAAATTGTCAATTGCCAGGAGCTGAACGTATGAGAATATTTCCAAAACAGCCCCTCTTCGGTGCTGTCACATCTCCATCACAGTCTCACTCCTCTGTCGAAATCAGAGAGCGGGCGAATTCTCCGAATCCTGAATTTCAACCCCGGGGTGGGGGGGGGTTGCCAGCCAATCCCACCTCTCGATAATCCAATTGTTGGGATCCACATTCAGAAATTGGTCAACTGGATCAACCTGACCTGCCGTTTCCCAGAGACGAGTTAATTCCGAAAACCAGAGACCGGCTGCACCTGTGTAAAACAGAGGAACAAACTGATGTTGCAATGAATTTTTTGTGAGGGAGCACAATGAGTGTCACTTTTTAATAAAAGAAATTACTGGCAAATCCTGTCGAAAAAGGCCAAACGCAGCAATTGGACAGCTGACCAAAGGACAAAGTCAGTCATTCCGAGTGTGTTTTGGTTTTTAGAGTTGATAATCAGGAGGTAGTTTAGGGGGCGAGGTTAAAGAAGGATTTCTGGATTGCAAACGGACACAGGCTGCTCTCTCTCAGTCTCTCCATGTGACTACGTTTCCGCTGTTATGTTCCGGAGCTGTGACTAAACTTTCAGGGCCGATGGGACTGGCTACCTCAGTGGTGAGATTGCAGCCCGGGAGCCTGGCTCAGACAGCCCGCTAGCCGCTGCCCTGAAACCCGGAGCCGCTGCTATCCGCGGCCGGCGGAAGGGAGACGGGCTCTCGGTAAGTGTCAGCTCGGGGACAGGGTGGGCGCTACTCGGTCTCTGTCGTTCAGCCCCGGGAGGGGGGCGCGGGGTAAACGAGCCGCGGATGCGTCTCGAAAATAAAAGGGGCAGTAGCAGCACTAGGAGACTGGGAAAGTCTGCATTTACATAACGCCTGTAAGGACCACCAGGCTGTCTATCAGCGATTTTGCAAACCTTTTATTTAAGAATGTAGTGACTCCTGTAAGGCATGCAATTTGCATTTAGCAAACTCCACACCGATTTGATAGTGGGATTAAGAAAAAAAAATTAAGAGATATGTAATTGTATATCTGGACAGAAAAATAAAGTGACCAGATTAAACTGTTGATTGCAGGATAAACATTGGCCAACGGTGCCAGGGGTAATTCTACTGCTCTGCTTGCAAACAGTGCCTGGGCGTCCTTTCCATGTTACTGGAGTGATAGCACCTCTGACAGTGTAGCGCTCCCTCCGCCCTGCAGTCAGTTAGCATTTGTATTCACTCCAAACCTGCAGCAGGGACTTCAACTCAGAATCTATGTCAGAGGTGAAAGTGCTGCCAACTGCCAGAGAGGACGGGGGGGGGGGGGGGATAAAAAAAACAAGCTTCAGAAATGGAGAGCAGCTAGATATAGGGGGCAGCACAACTCATCAGAGTAATGAAGCTACTACCACCTAGTGCCAACATCTTAATTGGGTGCAGGAGCAGGACCTAAAAGGGGCAGGGGCACATATGTGCCCCCCCTTAAAATGACAGCAGGACTTGTGCCCACACAGACATCACATCTTAAGGTGACAGCGCCCCCTGCGCTAACACCTTAAGGTGACAGCGC